CCTATGACTATTCATGCCTTGCCAAACCCCAAATCTAGATATTCTCCTCCTAAACTAAAGTGTCCAGAAATAAACATAATACTCCAGATGAGGTCTGATAAGAACACTGTACATGGTATTATCACCTTTGTATTCATAGCAGCCTTTTTCCTTCTTAATGCAATCCAAGATTACAATATCTTCTTTGATTTTGTCATGACAATGCTGAATTATATCGAGCTTGTAGTTCCTAAAACTCCCAGATCTTTCTCACAACAATTGCTATTTAATCATGCCTCATCTACTGTCTGCCTGGGAAGTAGATTTTCTGCACCAAGTACAATTTACATTTATTCTTACTGAATTTAATTCTATTACTCAGCCTACTGCTCTGGTTGGTCAACATCCCTTCAGATTCTGACTTTCACATCCCTTATCTCAGCTAAGCCTCCCTACTTGGTGTCATCTATCTTTTATCTGATGAGCACAACAATATACTCTTATTACTGATGTCCCACCCCATTCAAATCACTGATAAAAATGTTAATCAACAAAGAGTTAAGGATGGATCCCTGGGACACTCTAATGGAGATACAGCCTGTTATGCTGGCAACGAACCATGAACAACTTAACTTACTCTTTTGAGTCCAGCCATTTAACTAGTTTTGAATTTACATGATTTTATTATCACCTAATCCCATTCTCTCCTTTTTCTCCACAAGAAAAGTATGATATATTTTATTTAGAACTTCACTAAAATCCAGGTAAACTATAGAACATGCCCTTTTAGTTATTAATTTGGTAATCCTGTTCAAAAAGGCAGTAAGGCTACTTTGGCATGACCTATTCTTGATGAACACCCCAGCTATTTGTAATCACTCTAGATGCTTACCATCTTTTTTTTTTTTAAGGAAGCAAACTAAAATTGATTTAGGAATCAAAATGAAGCTCTCTGGCCAACAGTAAGCACACCGTTCTCTTCTCTCTTTAGAAAATCAAAATATTTGCCCTTCTCCAACTTTTTTGCAGTACATCTCCCATTTTTCATGATCTTTCAACTATCTTTCACTGACAATGGTTCAGCCATCACATCTGCTAGTTCTTTCAGGACCTAGATTGTAGCTTGTGTCGGGTACCTGGAATTCATTAATGGCAGCTAGGTGCCTTCTTACAATCTCCTTAGTTATCTTGAATATCAGTTTCCTCTAGGTCATTTTTGTTCTGATATTTCCAGGATGAAGCTCATTCTCTTTGTCAAAAAAAAATTAAAAAACAAAAACAAAAACAAAAACAGAAAATAAGTTGGGCAGCTCTATCTTTGCTCAGTTGGTCAGGTATCACTGTCACTGCCCCTCCACCCCCCCAGGAAGATTCTCAGCTTTTCTTGGTCCACTTTTTTCTCCCAATGTAACTAAAAGAAAAGTTGTGTTGATGTGAGCTCAGATGGAATACGTCTTCTCCAATCCTCCTGTTCCTCATCTCAACAGGGTTTTACTACACAGTATTCTTTGCTATACAGGTTCACTACTGCCTACAGACAGTTCTAATTTTAGAACATAGTAATAATAATGATAGCTAACATTTATATACCATTTACTATGTACCAGGCACTGTACAAATCACTTTACAACCAACGTATCATTTGATCCTTACAACAACCCTGAAAGATAGGTGCTATTATTACCTCCAGAACTAGGGCAAAGAGATTAAATGATTTGCCCAAGGTCACACAATTAAGTGCCTGTGGCTAGATTTGAACTCAGGTTCTCCTGACTCCAGACCTGGCCCTCTACACACTGTGCCACCAAGCTCCCTTGGCATCAATGAGAGAAAAATAAGATTCCCCTAACACACGACCATACCTGGTGTTCACGTTAGTGCATAGGAAACTCAGATCCAAAATGAATCCAAGAAAAACTTTGTCCAGGACAGAGAATCTGCTCCCCCAAATAGCCTCTTCCAAAAACCTATGAACAACCAGGACAATTACATAACAGGGCTGACAGGCCTAGAGGGCAAAGTGAAGGAAGAGACTCTGGCCTCAGAGAGTACAGACATTCTACTCACTGTAGCAACTCTACCTGCTCAATCACCATTGACACCAGGCAACCAGCATTAAGTTTATAGAGTAAAGAGGATGCTAATCTGGGAATCACATCATTATATATTGTACAGACCATAAACTCTACACAAAGAATTCTAATCTAACAAAATAAAGCAGAGAATTAATTTAGCAAAACTCAAAATTCTGAATGTTTTCATTTCTTATATAAAGTATGGACCCTTTGTTTATTACACTCAAAGTCTAAAATTCTTTATATATATAACTGACTCCTGCATATGAAGTTATAAAACTGAGATATCAATTTCAAAATATGCTACTTTTTAGAATGATTTAAAGAATTTGAAGAGAAGTCTCAACTACTTATTACATGTATAACCATTGGATGTAAAAACACAGAATTTTTATTAATTTCAAAATACGTAGCATCAAAGCTTTCAAATTTAAAATGATCTTTTCTTCTCATCCCACCCCCATCTCTGGTCAAAAAAACAAAATCAAAAACTATATATGCCCACTGTTGAAGGAAGTCACAGAAATTCAGGGTTCAGATAAATTACTTTTCTTCTCATGTAATTTTTGCCATTATATTTATCATGGAGAGAAATGAGACATAATCATTTTCTGCACATGTAATTTATATTAGTATCAATGCAAGGCAAGCAACACTAATCAATTAATGGTTCTAACAGGCATTTGTAAGTTTACTATTACACAAATTAAATAATTTGCCATACATAAGCTTATCAAGCCGTATATATTTTAAAAGTCAGTTTTATCTTAGGTCTAATAGTGTTATTTAAAATTAAGTTCAAAAATTAAACTCACTGTTTTATGACTATTAGATGTTTAAGTTTGAAATCAAGGGGCACATTTCAGGACTAAGATCTTATCATAATTAAATTTTAAAAGCTACAATAAATGGTGAAGGCCTAAAGCAGTCTACAAATGAAATTTAAAAAAAAAAACCTAAAAAAAAAAATCTGCATCACTGCAGAACTTGAAACACCTAAATATGTACTGATGGAACCTTAATTCTGTTAGGTTTCATACCTCCTCCTTCATTATCACAAACTTTCAGATGATAAACATTAATTAGCTGACAAAAAATGGAAAATAATACTTCAACCAGTTTACTATTATGGTTAGTTTTTTTGGTAGGAATTTTTAAGTGCCATTTTATTAACTAGTAACTAACAAACTTCAAGATAAAATTCAGGGAAGATTGCTAATTTAATATAATAGTTAAATATGTTACACAAAGAACAGACAATATGGAAATGATCACTAGGGAACAAACAGATATATAAGGTTTTAATTTGAGATTGCCCTTTCTCCTCTTTCCTCTTTCATAAATTATGGACATTTTGGGGTCAAATTAAGATGCTTTTTCCATTGAGAAAGACAAGGGGTACCAATACAATTTCAGATTTTAGTATAATAATTCCCTTTGGAACACCTATGTCAATTTGATAATCACTAACAAATTCAAGACATTGTAATGGACCCAATGGCATAATTTGGCTAAATATTTGAAAATTGAAGTATGGTTTTATTTTAACTTTAAATATCCTACAATTTTCAAAATTTCAAAAATAAAATAGTGAAATACCATTTCACTGGTGCATACTTTAGAAGCCTAAGGAGACCTATTCTAGAATAAAACAAATTCAAAAACTCTAAAACTTCTCCCCAGTGGATGCTCAAATTATAATGGTTTTATTTAAAAATCTATGAAATAAAAGATTTATGATACTTACTAAAATGCTTAAAAATAACAAATGTACTAGCTTCACTATAGTGCATCTGTCATTATGAAAGTAGATTAACTTAAGAGTAATAGGTTTAAGAAAGATTTCAAGAAAGTCACTGAAAGTCTAGTGGAGAACTGTTTTTAATTTCCCCCTTAACAAAGATTCACAACACTACAATAAATTTTACTTAGCCCTAAAAGTATTTTAGACCCTTATTTTAATATATAACTTAAAAGCCTTTGAATATCTATATCAATATTTCTAGATGAATATTAAATACAGGAAGACATTGGATATTATGGTGGGTGAATAATTTTAATATGTTTAACATTTATATAAGATACAAATTCACATTTTCCCACTTGCATAAAATTTGAAAAAAGTCATCACATCCACACCTAATAGGTCTGAATTTGCCATCTTAAATTAAGAATGAAAGTTTGCTTTCATAGACAGAAATATACTGGCATGCCATAAAACATAAGACAATTTGTTTTAACTAACCTATGCCAAAATTATAAGGCTATTTTTTTCTTTGAAAAATACTTCAAAAGCACCAATGTAGAGCTTTAAATTAAAATCCATCTTAACCTAATGTAAAAATTATTTAATCTAAAACAAATTATAACAAATAAAAATTAGTATCAATTGCTTTATGTTATAATTTATATTATAATAGTTATATTAAAGATCAATATAGAAGCATATCATTTGTATAACTAATCAATCATGCCAGAATATTTTATCATCAAGACCATTATCATCAATATTCTGTTAGAAAGACAAGCATTAAATGTTAACAATAAAATAATACCACAGTTAATGTTTCATGTTTAGTGCGGAGAATGCACAAACTGAAGCAAAATCATACAGAAACCAACTATACCACTAAGGATTTTTTTTTAAAGTTTATTTTGTAGATTGTTAAAACAACTGTGCAGTGCACTTCCCCTAATACAAAATAGGAAATTAATGAAAGGCCCATCAATTAATGAAGGAAGGTCACATGGTTGACTTTATTCTTAGTAAAATCAAACATTAGACTCAAGTCCCCCCCTGAAATTCAATCCTGATAAAGCAAGAAAGGCATCTGCTTCAAGTTTAGCACAAGCCAGTAATTTTAGACTTTGGTCAATGCTACTGGTTCTGTAAATCCAAAATAATACAAGTCTTTTTTCCCTGAACCCCTTCATTCTGTGACGTACCATCAACATCACCTGCAGTTTCGCTTTCTTCTTCTTCTAGTATTTCAAAAGGAGTCATTACATCATAGAGAAATGAGAGGAAGCCATAAAACCAATCAGAGCTTTCCTCTGCTAAAATATTAAGGACTTCCTCAAGAGAATCAATATTTTCATTACTGCCATCTTTGGTCAAGCCTACACAAGAATAAAGGGAGAGAGAAAGAAAGAGAGAGAGAGAGAGAGAGAGAGAGAGAGAGAGAGAGAGAGAGAGAGAGAGAGAAAATAAAGGAGAGCAGTTAGGTGGAAAAAAAGAAATTTAGGAAATGTGATTTAAGAAAGGAATCTTGTACATGGTCACAGATGTTTACAGAAAAGCCATTTAGGAAAGTAAAGTAATGATTGCAACAGAAAGCATCAGATTAAACCCTGCATTTTGGACAGAAAAAACACTATACAATTAACTCTCAATTCCATACAGTAAGCAGATGAGTGCTATAAGCAATACAAAACTACAAATAACTAAAAAGTTATTCCTACCAGATTCTGAATGCATCAACTTACTTCCTCAATCTTATTTTTTGTAAAAAAACAAAAAAAAACCCAAAACTAGTCTTTCTAATGATATATTCCTTCAACTAATGCTTAGTTTGTGAATCAGCAAAAAATGACATTAAAAATGTCAAAGATAATCCACAAAGTTCATCACTTGCAGTTAAATAATCAAGTGGTGGGTGCACAAGTACTTTAGGCCTGTCCATGATAATTCATCGATAACTATAAAATTTATTTCCTCAAATTTTTCCCCTTAGGCTATTTAAGGCTTTTTACCTAGTTGACCAGACCCATTTTTCACTTTTGTTTAAAAGCAGGCATAAATGTATTTCAACAAACTAGCCTCCACAATTCACTCTCCTATTATGATCTTCAGCATCATTAATAATTTGAAAAATCCTAAATAATCATCCCAACATTAAAAATCAGAGGCAGAACTGTAATTAAAATCAATTCATTCTCTAAACTTCTTCCCTGTATTTTCCACCAATTACTGCTACCCTGGCACATTAAAATAAAAAAATTAAATTAAACCAATGAAAAAAATTAATATTTAGACTATTAATAAAGTAATCATTTTCAACCAACCAAAAGAAACAAAGTTTCAGGCTTTGACTTACCATTTTCAATTTTAAAGAGTCTCTACTAAACAAAAAATTTACCCTTCAGGTCATGACAGCATCTTATACCAGGCAATTTTCTGGCAATTTCTAAATCTTGGACACAAAACATGTCCCAGTGATGAGAATACAATCAGTTCAGGTTTTAAATAGGGTTAGCAAAAACAGTTATCAATAGACATTACTAAACACAGAATTAAGTCAAGATGGAATGTCTGAGGAAATGAGCCATACTAGCAAAGAATGATCATTAACCTATAAATATTGTCAAGCTGTCACAATCCTGGATCTCAGGATTTTTCCCATCTCACTAATCCAAACTGGGCACTACAGGTTTTACTGAACATGATTTCTCTACACATTATTAACATCTAAAATTAATATGAGAGAAATATAGGTATATAAGTGTTAGATAAGTGACTTGATGAAGATTATACACAATATATTCCACTTTTTTTCTGTCAAAGAAGTACTTTGTAACCCATGTTTTTCCTGGGTGCTAAATCTGGTATAAGTCTCTTCTTAGAAATCTTGTCAACAACATATCCCAAACTGAGCATATTATTTTACCCTAAAGTCTGCTTATCTTCCTGACTTCCCTACTTCTATCAATGGTGAGTGCATGATAATCATTCTGTCAGTCATTCAAGCTAGAAATTTCAGTTATCTTGAATTAACTGCCAAGTCTTAATGATTCTACTTAATGATTCAGTAGAATCCATCCCCTCCTTTCCTATCCTACCACCCCCGCCCCCCATTCTAGATTCCTATTTCTTTTTACCTGGGCTCTCACAACTGACTTTTAACTGTTTCAATGGAGCTGCCAATTTTCCCATTGTTTCAATTATACCAGTACAGTTAGTTTTCCTAACTAATATACTAATCTGATAATGTCAACTAAGATGCCTAAAAATCTTGAATAGCTCCTCCACTGTATACTAAATCAAAATCAAAGTTCTTCGCCTGGAATTTAAAATGAGCCATAATATCTATCAGCTTAAGTCATACATTACTCCCTTTTAAAATACTCTATCTCCCAATCGAACTTAACTATGTTCCACAAACACAGTCAGCACTTCTATGTTTTAGCTTATACCATTCTCTGCACCTAGAATCTGAAACATCCTTATTTTTATTTTTTTTATTTTTTGAGGCAATCAGTATTAAGTGACTTCCCCAGGGTCATGCAACTAGTAAGTGTCCGAGGCCAAAATTTTAACTCAGGTCCTCCAGGCTCCAGAGCTGGTACTCTATCCACTACCCTACCAATATCCTATTTCCCTAGACACTCAGCTAAATCTCAGTCTTTTGCCAGGCTTCTTATCAAAAGACCTAGCTCAAATGTTATTTCTTCTAGTATATTTTTTCTCTTTCTCCAATATGGAAGTGACCAATCCTCAAATACTTTTCCTTACTGGGCTCACAAGTCTTCTCACTTCTTCAATGCCTTCTCTTACAAGCACTTCCCACAAAAGCCAGAAGTCAAACTCTATGAGGAACTTGCAACTTCACCATTAGATTATAAACTGAGAGCTGGGCTATGTATCTTAGCTACATATTTACTTCTGTAAGTGTATATTGCAGTACTCTGCCTATCTAGGCACATAATATATGTTGAACCAAGTTGAACTGAATCTCTATGTGCAATCAACAAGTTAGCTTTCAACTTGAACCCATTTTTTAGCAAAAAGAAATTTTAAAATGTACATAATATTAATTTGGGGCTTTTTGTGGCAGCATGGTATAGCTAATGGAGGACGGCTTTAGAGTCAAGAAGACCTGAGTTCAGGTCTTGTCTATGACATGTACTATCTGTATAACCACGAGCAGGTTAGTTAACATCTCAATGTCCTAGGCACCTAAGACTCCAATTTAAAAACCAAATGCTGATCTACTTCACTGGAGAGAATTTCCACAATAGGAATTACCTATAATAAAGAAGTTATTGATGTGGACGTTAAAAAAAACTAGAGATTTCTCCAAACCACACTCATGTATGAATGGATCAGAAAGAACCCAAGGTATTTCTGGTCAATTAGAGGTAACTACTAAATAAATATTTACTATCTGTGTAACCCTAGGCAGGTCATTAGACCTTTCTGGAAGTCAATTTACCTGGTCTGTAAAATGAGGTGGGTTGGATTCAATGGCCATTGAGGTGGCTTCCAACTAAAAATCTATGATCCTGTAATTGGTTTCTTATAAAGAGTTTTAAAATTTTAATTTTCCTTCTCTGTTTAGTAGATCATCCTAGACAATGCCCTATTTCTAATCCCAACAAAAACAACAAGCAAAAAAGGGGTTTTTTTCTTGACAAATATTGTTTTAAAAAAACTAAACTAGCAAAATCATAAAGGCCTCTATAAAATCTTGAAAACAGAATCTGACTTTACTACCTTTAATATTAACATGACAAACTCTACTAATAAAAGATATAATAAACAAAATCTGCCAGCTGAACACTATTATACAAGATAACTCTACACAGTTTCTTCCTATATCTACTTCATCATCAGCTCAGCTTCCTTGTAATTCTTTACACCAGAGCCCAAAGAAATGCGTGGCTTAGGAAAAAAGAGGGAACCTTTTTCATATTGAGTGGTTCCTCACCTCCTACCCACATAGGGAAGAAGCTACTCATGAAAGAAACAATGGAAAAGAATTAGACCAGAGGACTTCTAGAACTGTACAAACCTTAGTACTTGACCCCCATACATACACTACCTGGTGCTATTTTTGGGATGCTTATGATCCCATTTCCAGCGGGTAGAAAAAAGAATATGAGGCAGAACTTTATAACTAGTGATCCCAAGCTTTGTAGCTTATCTCCTTTTCCCTTATACTTTACTCACTGTAGCAACTAGCAAATTGCTGTAAGTTGCTTGACACAGGGAAACAGGATTGTTATTCATAATCCTACGTTACTTCTGGCTATTCTGGTGTTGAGATATCTTCCTATTAATTTACTCAAGAATTTATCATGTCTCCAAAGTAACATGTTTTAGGAGAGAATTTTTTCATTTCAAGTGATTTTAGTTGTCAACAATTTAAACGGAAATAAAATATTTTAAAGCAATTCATCATTCAGGATAGACAGATGTTCTAACAAGTAATTATGAAGCAGGCTTTTAGGCAGGTGAATGATAACATTCAGGATAGACAGATGTTCTAACAAGTAATTATGAAGCAGGCTTTTAGGCAGGTGAATGATAAACCTTAAAAGACTTTCAGGGTGACATGGTAGAAAAAAAAGAGCAATTAGTGAAAAGAGAAATTAGAAGTCTAAAGACTGAGCTTAAGACCCGACACCATCAATTTAGCTATGTGATGTTCAACAAGTCATTTAACTTCTGTAATGCTCAATGTTCTCATTTGTAATGGAGGAATAGTAATGCTTGCACCTCCTACCTCAGGTTGTTGTGAAGATCAAATGACAATGTATGCAGGCACTTACATAACTATAAAGGTGCCATATAAATACCGTGGTGGGTGTCTGTTAATTGTGAATTCCATAGAAATTATTTCATACTATCTCTGTATATGATTCATTAACTCTTTGAATAAGTATAAAAAATATTTAAATTAGCATGTTATTTCTTTTACATAAAACTGGTAAGACTGATGCAGATCAAATTAAGGTCTTGTAATAGCCTACGAATTATTCACTTAAAAATATACATATATACTTAGTACAATAACATAAAAGTTATCACAGCAAACAAATGTCAGCTTTTGCCCTACCCTTTGCAATTGACCTGATTACTGACCCATTCACTTTTGATTTTCTTTGCCATGACTTCAGTAAAAGTTTCAGTAAACATGCTCAATATCATTCCTTTTCTGATATTCCTAGTGAAGTAACATAAGGTCAGAAGTGAGCAAACAGCATTTTATTGTCTCCAGACCCAAATTGTATCTTATGTCACTATTTTCAAACGCTGGAAATGGTAGAGTTGAGTCTGGCAGCTGGGGTTCATCTTTAGCTTCCTCAACTTCAATCAGGCCAAAACCAATTGTATGACGCTCTAGAGGTACTACATCATAGACTTGAGCAATGTGATGAAGAAGTTATGTGAAGAAATGTGACTCAGAGTCACATTCTCAAAAAAAATCAGAGATTTAATCACCCAATTTAGTTATCACTTTCTAAATACGAAAATTCTTACATAAAATGCAAGTTGTAGTTTGCATGTTTTTTACGAATGTGTCTATGCAAAAATTAAAAAGTTAACAAAGGAGAGATTGATAGCTAGGCCAAATATGTTCTTGTTAATTGCTTCATTTAAAAGTCTACATAATCAATTTCCAAATCTGAAATTTGATACTTGAAATCCAAATGTAATCCTACCACAGATGTGGACAAAGCAGAAATAATATCTTGTTAATAATTGCTGTTTGACAATTCTTAACATTACTCAACAAAAAAGAAACTTTTAAACAGAGTTTGTAGACACATTTTACAAGTACTTTGATAACTTCTTTCTAAAAATAACAAATCAGTGTATAATGAAAGTTTTGAAAACACTTTTAAAATAGCAAGCTAACTTTTCATCATACTAAATAAAGAGTTGTTTAAGGGAAAATATTTTTATTACTAAGTAGACAGTACAATTATAAATTCTACATATTTAGTTTGGGCATTTAAAACTTTCATCTAAGTTAAAGAGTAATAAAACATTTTGATGACCATAAACAAGTATCATTCTAATTAACACATGGGATACGAATATATTTCAAACAAGAGAATATATCTTTTTAAAACCCCAATTCAAATATCTACTATCAAAATCATATTTTAAAAAACTTCAAAAGGGTGATGAATTTCCTATGAAAAAAACAGACATGCACAAAAAAGCAAATGTTGATTCTTCCTGCATATCAATAAGAAAACATTCACAGAACTTACAACAATTTAGGTTACAACTAAAAATATTTTATTTTGTAGTATTTGAAGTTTTTCATAGGCATAAAATAATAGCCTAACTTAAATAAAACATTTTCCAAAAAAAAATTATCCCTAAGTGGTGATGAGCCACTCCAGTCTTAACTAGGCTGGCTTGGGGGCAATAGATATACATAATCCATTGGTGTGGCAATTCATCCTTTCCTGCTTAATAAAACTTTCAGAGCTTAGGTTCCACCCACACAAGTTTTGAGGGTGAATAGTCACATCCATACCATGATGAGACATTAAGAGTGTGATGTGAGTGAAGATATTTCATACTAATATAACTGGAGGATATGAGAGTGTTCCATAAGCAGATATGTGTGTATACACACACACACACACACACACACACACACACACATCAGACAAAAAAATGTATTAAGAAATTTGACACGATTTTCAGAGAAGAACTTAAAAATCAACAAAATTTCCTAGAAATCAAGAATAATCAATGGGCTCTTCCCTCTCTCTATTAAAGAGCCCTCTATTAAAGCACCACCACTGTTGCAAGAATAAAGTGGGGAGAATAACAAAAAGGTTTAGTCATCTGAAGCTTTTAATGGGATCAAATATAGTATATTTAAAGTGTTTACCTTCAAGATATGCAACAGCCTATATGCTGTAACGTTTTTACTATTTACTATATTATTTTATAGTAGACTTACACAAAAAATTTTAAAACTTTAATTTAAAATTTAAGCTTATATAAAAGATATTTTAAAAGCCAAAAAAAGAAAAAACAATTATGTAGTTAATTTGAAAGCCAAGCAGCAGAAATTTATTAAAAGTTCAGAATAAAAAGTATTTTCAAGATGAAGACAGTACACATAAAAGTTATACCCAATTTACCAAGTTATCTGGCTTCTTAAAAACTTATAAGCTATGTCTAAGTCTACTGAGAAAATCCTAAAGAAATTTTCTCACAAACAAGGTTCCATACATAATGTCATTTTTGGCATATTCCAGTGCCACCCTAAAATTAAGGTATACTTGCCTAGTAAAACTTTGGCATCATCAACATCAAAATCACCGTCATCATCAGCATCATAGATTCCCAGCTTCCCTATAATAAAAAAAACACGGTGGGGGTGGAGGAGTGTGGGAATAAAAGAAAAGAAGATAGTTGGACATTTCCATTTATTGAAATTCTGCACAACATTCATAGATACTGCTGTAATATAACCCGGTGTACTTCTAGCCCTAAATATTTTTCTCTTTGCAAGAAAAGTCATAATGTACTTTTCTCTAAAAATCATGTGGAATTCACTTTGAAATTCAGATTTTCATTTATCAAATTAATTCAAAAAAGTGAAAACCATAAATGAATAAATAAACTTTATTCTGTAATAATTTCTTTTAAAGTTTGAGGTTATAAAATAAATGTTTTAAATTGTAGCAGAAGATTTTTGTATCAACATTGAAAACTTTAAGCACCTTATCCAACTGTACAATATTAAAAGTATATTGTTAATAGTTAAGGAAGCTATGTTTTGAAATCTAAAAATTTTTGTTAATTTCTTCAACCCTCAATTTTACAATCAATTCTTACTAGGCAGAAAATAAAAAGGAATGTCAAATCCTAAATAACTAATTTTCAAGCAAACAAACTTAAGTGTTTATTAAAGCAAATATCTAACATAAAGAAATGGTTATTTTTCTATTTAAAAATTAGCATTTATAGCACAACCGATCACCCTCCCCCCAAAAAAAGCCACCATCACTTTCTTACTAAGCAAGACCTAGAAATGAATCTGATACTATAAATGAACCACTTTATCTATACCATTTAGAAATCCAATTAAGCAATAGAAGTCTAAGTTAACACTTAAAAATAAATAAAAATAAAAAGATTTGGACTCAGCCAAGAGAAACGGGGCAATATGAGCACAGACTTTATCTTTCCTTTTCAAGGAAAGAAAGCATTCTAATTTGAAGAAAATACTTTAAAGATTCACTTTTCAGCAGGATGCTCTATATTTAATATTACTGAAAAATATTCCCCAAAAACAGCCCTGAAGTCAATTATATCATTTACCAAAATACCTTCAAAAGGTATATTGCAACTTTTTAGGAACTAGCAACAGTGGCAGAGTGGTGTAGCCATGACCCACTCAAGTTTCTATTATGTCTTCTTATTTTTTCCAAAAGACGGAAGTTATGCAGAGCGGTTTTCCACTCAGACAAGTGACTGATGTAATCTATCATTAACACTTCCTAAAATGAATACAAATTTTCTAAGAAAAAAATTCCACAAAGAAATGGAGAAATGATAAGATTATAAAACTCCTATTTTTTTAAACAAAATTTAAAATGAAAATTATAGACCTGAAGACCCAGGTTAAATTTAATAATGAGCTAAACTAAAATAAGCCAACCATTAAAACTATATATCTTACAGGAAATTGGCCATACTGCTCATATGTTATGAATTATACTTAAGTGACAAATAAAATAAGGTAAAGTAAAATTTCAGAGACAGAAAATATGAGCTTATTTAAAATACGTCTTGAATAGCCTACCTTGAAGTACCTCTGACAAGTTATAACGGAAGTCCTTTGCTTTGGCTGCATGCATATAAAAATATGAGAACTGTTACTTGCATTAAAAAACACAAATTATTTTAACTTTGTTCCTTTATTTTACCACTTGATTTACATGTTCCTTTCTCTATTAATAATTCACTATGGACTCATAAAAAGAACTAAAATCTTTTTTTCTGCAAATTTCTCTCCAATCTGGCAGTCTTTGGCAACCAGATGTCAACTTGTCTATGTGAGGGGTCATTTTTCTAAAAGTCATTAAAATGTAAGACTTTTATTCAAGTTATATGCAAGGAAGCTACAATATTATTTGCTTTTCTAAGAAGCATGACTACTATTCAAGAAGTAAAATATCCTGTCAAAAAACTAGAACTCAAATTTTGCTTATAATTGCATACTCCCAAGACAGCATTAAATATTTAAGTTATGTTGTCAGAACAGAAACACATATTTGTATTTTTTTTTAAATTATGGAAAACTATAATACAGCTCTTACCTAGAACTTCTTCATAATCAACAAGGTCAAACCAAACAACAGCTACAGAAGTCCAGACACCCAGCAATGCAATTACCATAAACCATGTGAAAAATGAACTTCCAGAAAGTCCTTCTTTCTTTCCATTTTTATGTCCTCCATGCTTTGCCTCTGTTGAAAGACAAAAAGTTGGAAACATCATTAGATGAAAAAATAAAGCTTTCCTACAGCTTTTCATTTCTGAAGTACATTACGTTCCCTAGCAATTGGTTGTTTGAAGATAAGCTTTGAATATAAAATATTCCAAGAATACAAGTGACCCAAAGAAATTCCTTTCATATTTCTTCCAAGAATAGCAAGAGATACTAGGGCCAATTATTAGATTGAAAAAAATAAAAGAAAACTTAAGATATCTGATATGAAAGACAACTGATCTGGAAAATAAGTCATGGAGAGTTAATTTAAGAATCACTGGATTCTCTGAAAAACATGATTTAATAAAAAAAAAAAAAGTTGGACACAGTGCATCAAGAAGCACTAAATGAAAACTGCTAAGATAGATAAGAACCAGAAGGCAAAGTAAATAGGGAAAAAATCCTTTGATCAGTTCCTGAAAGAAACCCAAAAGGGAAAAGTCCCAGCAATGTCACAGCCAAAATTCAGAGTTTCCACATCAAAGAAAAAAATACCACAGGCACCCAAAGAAGCAACTGAAGCACCAAGGAACTACAGTCAAGGTCATACGAGACCTCAGAGCATCTACTAAAACCCAGGACATCTTGAAATACAATACTCCAAAAAGGAAAAGAAACAGGCTTATAACCAGGAGTAATTTCCCCTGTGAAGCAGAGTATAACCCTAGAGGGAAAAAAAAAAAGCCGGGGCAGGGGGGAGAACCTCTATTGGAATAAATGACCTTCAAAGATTTTTTCATGTAAAGACCCAAACTGAGAAGGTACTTTAAATTACATATAGAAAAATCCAGAGAAAACTAAGAAGGTATTTGAACTGGAAGAAGTTATGATTATTCATAACTGGACTGAGAGAGAAGAATACACAAGTATAAAGGAAAGGGTGGGGTAAGTGGGCATCAAAAGAACTTCACTCAAGAGCGAAATGGACAAAGAAGAGTTTAGTGAATGGAACCCAACAGGAAAATAAGGAGGGAAAGTAAAGTGGTGACAAAGTTAAAGAAAGAGGACAGTACAAAAGAGGGAATAGTTGCAAGCAAAACAAACTTCTGGGTCTTGAAAGGGGGAAGGGGAGGGAAGTGGAGGAAAAGAAAAAGAAATAAAATCTTGACTCTTAGATTGTCTCTGAGACAACTGGAGAATGGCTAAACAAACTATGGTACATAAATGTAACAGAATATCACTGTGCAATAAGAAATAACAAAAGAGAATTTCAGAGAATCATGTGTAGTGTGAACTGATGTGAATGAAATGGGCAGATCTCAGAAAACAATCTACACAAGGACAATAACACAAAGAAAAATAACTTTGAAAGGCTTAGGAACTCTGATATAATGACCAACCAAATCTAGGGACACCTGTATGAATGTGACATGATCTCCTAACAGCAATGGACGCGCGCAAAAATATACATTTTTAGACAAGGAAACTATGTAGAGGACTATGCAATCATTGTTACAATATTCTCTCTTCTCTCTCTCTCTCTCTCTCTCTCTCCCCTGTTTCTTTTTACTCATTGGGGAAAGGAGCACTAGGAAGAAAAAATCTTATTAAAAACAAAATTCTACAGAAAAAGAACTAGGCTGAAGTGGGGAGCCAAGACAGTAGAGCAGGAAGAAGTGTAATAAGGTTCCTCCAAACCCTAATGAAACTCCTCCAAGTAAATCTAGAAAATGCACCAAACCAAACCCTAATTGGAGAAATCCAATAAAAAGTCATAGTGAGTTATTTTTCCAACCAAAGTTGGCATAGGGAGGTAGAGAGGTCTATGGAGCCAGGAGATAGGATATGCCAAGAGCCTGTGAAGCATTTTAGTGACCAGGGACTGAAAAAGGACCAACGGTTATGCACCAAGCAAGACCCATACAGTGACACCAAGACCTTGTGCAGAAGCCAAATGGCACTTTTCATTTACTACCCAGTTCCTGGTCATAAATCCAGGGTGGACTGCAGAGAGAATCTGAGCACCCCAGTGGGGCATTATAGGAACACTGAAAGTCTGCAAGTCCTCAGCCTGAGCTGTTGCTGAGATCCTGGAAAAACAAAATGTTCAATATTTCAAGAAAGCAGCATCCCAAACAGTACAAACATTTCCTCCAGGGGAGCACAAAAGCCTGGCCCTAATAAAAAGTCCAAAACCATTAAGTAGATTGGAAGAATGAGAAGGAAAAAAAAAAGAATCCCACCACAAAAAACTATTACAGTGACAAGGATGCTCAAAACACAAACCCAGAAGAGAATGGTTCCAAAATATCTATAATTAAGGCCTCAAAGAAAATGCAGCTCACGCACAAATTCAACTAGAATTTCTGGAGGTGATAAAGCCAGAGTTTTTGTTTGTTTGTTTTGTAAATCAAAGTGGATAGGGGGCAGCTAGGTGGCGCAGTGGATAAGAGCACCGGCCCTGAAGTCAGGAGGACCCAAGTGCAAATCCAGCCTCAGACCAAACACTTGACATGTACTAGCTGTGTGACCTTGGGCAAGTCACTTAACCCCGACTGCCTCACTAAACCCCTCCCCCAAAAAAAACCAAAGTAAATCAAAGTGGACCAAATAAAAGCTAATGAATTCATGAGGCAAGAAATAATAAAATCAAAAGGCTGAAAAAAAAAAAGAAAATTTAAGGTATCCAGGCAAAGATAATTGACCTGGGAAACAGACCAAGGAGACAAAAATGTAAAGCTCATTGTGCTACTTGAAAACCATAACCAAAAAAGGAGAGCCTACACATCATATTTTAAGAAATAATAAAAGAAAACTTCCCAGAAGTCCTAAAGCCAGAGGACAAAGTGGAAATAGAAAGCTTAAGTAGGTAGGTAGGTAGGTAGGTAGGTAAGAAGGAAGGAAGGAAGGACGGATGGACCGAAGATTATGCTGAAATCAGAGCTTCCAGGTCAAAGAGAAAATATTGCAAACTACCAGAAAAAAAAAATTTCAAGTACTTAGGAGCCACAGTAAGGAACACCCATTATTTAGCAACCACTACTAAAAAGGAACAGCAAGCTTAGAATACAGTATTCCAGAAGGCAAAGGATATGGGCTTATAACCATGAATAACTTTACCAGGAAAACTGAGTATAATCCTAAGGGGGGAAAAAGCTAAACTTTAACAAAATAAAGGATTTCCAAGTATGAGGGATGAAAAGACCAGAGCTATGAAGAAATTGTGAAGTGCAAACACAGCAGGAAAAAAAAACCACATATATATAAATGGTAAACATTGAATGAACAATCTTACATGACTAAACAAGGATAGCCTGCTTCCATTCAAATATGGGGAGATGATACATGTTTCCTTTGAACCTCAATATCTTTAAAGAGCTAGTCTGATTAGACAGAGTTTAATCAATACTAAATATAATACTAGATAAATAAAATAAGAGCTTAACACTTTTATAGATACTGAGAATAAAGATAACATGATGTAGTTTCATTTTACGTTACAGTATGAATACAAATCTATTTATATGCCTCCTCCCACCCCATTCCACTCTGTATAATAATAATTTTCTGGGATAAAATATTCAAGTACAATAAATTATTCAAGAACATACTGTTATCTGCTGCTTAAAGAAATGCTAAAATTTGCTTATAATGGCATAGTAAAACTTTAGTTCTGGTCTCAACTGCCCCTGGCTAACTATAAGAATACCATACTATTTCATGCCATAATCAATTTCTAAATCTATAAACAAAACTTTTAAATACACCAAGAGGACTGATGCTTAAGGTAATCTTGCAATAAATTATTTTTGTGATGCAATGTATCAATTATCATTTGAAATAATTTTATTTATTTTTATAGTTTCTTCTTATAATACCAAATAAAATATGGTTGGTTACTTGAACTTGTCAGAAAAATGGCAACATGTTAATCTAAAATAATACAACTGAATTTCACAAGTTCTATGGTAACTTACTTTAACTATCTAGATAACTAAGTACCAGGAAGAGAAAGACTTTTTCAAAGCTAAATCAGATATAACAGAGAACCCTAAGTTTCCTCCTTTGAGCCCTTCAGGCCTTCACTCAAAACTGTTACTTACTTCAGACACAATTCTAATGACTCTATCTAGTTTCTTAGTCTAGAACCTACTATAACATAGTCTTAGGGGACTGTAAAGTTCGAAGAAATCATAGAGAACATAGGATCATAAATTTAGACCTAGAAGGGACTTCAAAGGCCATCTAGATCAAACCCTCATTTTACGGACGAGGGATCTAGAGAAGTTAACTAACTTGCCAAAGGTACTGTGATCTGTTCTACCCAATCATGAGAAACAAATTAAAAAGTGGGAGATTGGGCTGGGAGTGGAAAGAAAAGAAGGCTGCTAGCGGCGCAAGAAGAAATGGCCACTGGCACTGAGGGAGAAAAAAAAACTGTAAAAAAAAAATAGACACAAACTTAAAAAGCAAAATAAAGGCAAGGCTATCTACCATATAGGAAGAAGTAGCCTAAAGTATTATATCACAGTACAACTGACATCAAGAAAAAACTAAATTATTTTCAGTAATAGGAATGAGAGATACGAAATACATTTTAGAAAGAGTTCCATTCAAAATACTTTTAAAAATTCTGAGTTATTAAAATGGTAATTTTCCATTATCTAGAAAATTCACTTAAATAGAATTCTTCACTCCCACTGGTTACCAGACAAGTAAAATGTTACAAGAGGGCACATTTCAGGAACAGAGATTCTTAACTTAAGAGTCCAAGGATCCCCGAGGATGGGAGAAAAAAATTTACACCATGATTTTCACTAACCTCTGACTGAAATTTAATATTTTCTTCAGTTATGAATATAGATGACAACAGCCTTCATAATTTTATATATATATATATCATCTTTTTAAAATAAAATATAACTTTAACTTGCCTATATTAAGTACATTTTTATTATTTAGTGCTAACAAACAAGTATATATCACTATCTCATACATTTGGTTTTTAATATTTTTGATGACTACATTTCAATATAAGTGGTTGCCTCTGCAATACTATGTAATTTATTTCATGCATTTAAAAACATTCTGAGAAGGGGTCCCTAGCCTTCACCAGACTGCCAAAGGGGCCCATGACACAAAAAAGCTTCCTTCCTGTAGAGTAGTCTTTATTAGATATACATTAATACACTTTCACCATTTCTGAAAGGAATTAAAATATTGGCTTAAGGAATGAAGTCTGTGTATCAGAATCTCTGCTAAAATAAACTAACGTGTGTGTGTGTGTGTGTGTGTGTGTGTGTGTGTGTGTGTCCCAATCAACCAAAAGACCCATTTTTCAGAAGTTTAAAAGCTATACAATGAGGTACATAATGTAACTTTTAGGTCAGATCTAGAATGAATACAACTCCCTTGGGCAATCATGGGAAAATAACTTTTTACTCTATTAAGCAAATAAATACCATATTCTTCAAAAAGAAAAAATATATTCATATCCTGAAGAAAAGGCACTTCATTTTTTTTAACTGGAAAGCAACCATTATTGTAAAGGAAGATGAACAAAACAATTCAGTCCTAAAAGATAAAACATTAATAAGATATACTGGCAGGTGTTCAATCTTGAGTTAAAATCAAATGATCTAAGTCCCTTCTTTGCATATATTGCCTGCCTCAAAAAGTAGGTCAACTACCATACAGAATCATGCACCCAGCTGGAAGGAACTTTAGAAATCAACCTTTTAAATGTACAAATCTGACAAAGAAAAGCTGTGTATATTTTGTTGATTCCAACTTCCTAATTTTTACCTCATAATGATTTATGTAACATATTCAAACAAAATCTAATGAACTATGTCCCTACAAATAAATATATAACCAAGACAAAGAGATCTATCTTTTCATTATTTCAACCACTCTTAGAAATTAACGTCTCTGTAAGTTTAAAACAGAAAATGCTAAACATTCACCCTCCTTACATAGCACTCAATTTGCTTTCACAAATTAAAATTGAAAAAATGAAGTAAACATATCAGCCAAAACCAAAATACATAATTTTATCTTTTCCATTAAGCAACTAGTTATATACCTTTATCCTCATTCATGCTGCTTATGTCTTCAGAAAATACTTATCATGGATTTTCGATCGTTCCAGCTTTATAGGAGTGGCCAAACTTACAGCTAGCTCAGCTAGAACACGAAATTGGACCTGACTACAAACTCTCCTCATGCGTTATTTTTAGTCACTCTTCTTCATAAGCCAAATGCTACTAATCACTCACTCTGAAATCCAGTACCAACAATCAGACAGCCCTCCTCCTCCTAATAGGATATCCTTCTTGATTGGTCTTTCCTTCCAACTTAGTTCCTAAGCATCAAGCATTCCAAAGAAAATAAAACAGAACAAATTGTCCTGCAATCTCTTTCTTTTTCAGAAACACTCTTCAATGCCCTGATTCTAAACACTAAGTCATTGTTAACCAACATAGACCAGGACAAAGTATTGCTGTGAAACTTGGCTCTTAGCCAGGAAACTCTGAGGGTTGGCCCTCCAAAAACTATTTTAGTATCTAATTTAGAAGATCATTATTAGACTTGCTGATGGCTACAGTTGTACAGTTGTAGGGAGAACTGAGTTAAGAGTTACAGAATACTGTTCTAGAATGCATTAACCATAGGTGGTAAAGTAAAAGGGAAGGAGAACTTCCACAGGCTCTCTTGCTCCAAATATATGTGTATATATAATTAATAATCCAGAATGAGCCTGATGAAAGATTGCTGTATGAGAACCAGCCTAGCTAACTTTAGAGAGGCACATCATCAAAAAGTTGGCCACCAGCTGATGAATATTTTTGGTAACAGCATCTTGTGAAGCCATTTATTAAAGTGGAGTAGGGTAGTAATCTGTACTAGTGAAGAAAGCAACCAGACCAATAAAGTCACAAACCTTACTTACAACCATCTAAAGCAACGGTCAACCAAGTCTTCATTAAAAGTCATTTATTGTTTCACATATGTATAATAGATTCATGTAGGCTAGAACTGATTTTCAGTCACAGAGCCTTAAATTTGAGAAATAAGTCTTTTGTGGGCATCAAGATGAATTTTAAGCAAATCAAATGCAAACTCAAAATAGTGAAGAAGTTCCTTGATAATCTCCCACCTTTACTTACCAGTCCTCCTAACATACTCCTTTCCCTAAATCTGAAAATTCCAACTAAAATATTACTACCTAAAGTATATGTTGATAATAGCTTCTGGTATAAATCTCATTCAACTAATCTTTGCTTGATTATTCCACAAATTAATCAGCAAGCATTTATTACACACCTGTTAGGTGTCTAACAGGGTAGTATGCTAGGTGCTACGGATGCAAATATCGAAACGTCTATTCTCAAGAGATAAAATGTACAAAACTGAGAATATACAGAATAAATACAAGTACAAGTGAGGGAGGACACTGGCAGTTAGGGAAGCAAAGAAAGTTTGCATGTAAAAGATGGTGTTTGACCTGTGACTTCAAAGGGGGACAAAAGTAAGGAAAATCTGCATTTCAGGCATAAAGGATAGATAACCAGTACAAAGGCATGAATATAGGAGATAGACTGCCACGTGTGAGGAACAGAGATAAAACCAGTTTGGCTGGATCATAGACTATAGAGCAATGTATAATGAGGCTGGAAAGGTACAATAGGACAGGCTGTGAAGTTTTTTAAAAGCTAAGAAGAAAAACTTTTATTTTATCCTGGGGCAAGAGGTAGTCTGCAGTTTATTCTTGTGGGGAAGGAAGGGGTAGTTAGTGACATGGTCAAATCTGCAATTAAGGAAAACAATTTGACATCAGCATTAAGGATGAACTGGAGTGGAAAAAGGAAAATAGACAAACTGGGAAGTTGATGAAAGAAGGTATCAGACATGAAAAATATTTTAAAGGTAGAAACAAGCGGTGAAGGGGAAATGAGGAATTGAGGATAAAGCCAAGGGTACAAACATGATAGCCTGAAAGGATGGTGGTACCTGGAACAGAAATGTAGAATTTTGAGATGCTTCTCGGGCATTTAGTTTGAAATGTCTATTAGGCAGCTGGAGATGACTGGAGATCTGAACTAAATATCTGTCTCTTTTCTTTAACACTCTAATATAACCCTACATAAGCAAATGCCTAATGGACATTTAAAACTAGATGCCCTAGAAGCACTTCAAACAATGTATTTATAAAATTGAACCCCATTTGAAGAAAAAAAACCCACTTCTTCTGGAATACCCTATTTCTGTCAAGAACACCACCTTTATTTCAGTCACCCAGGTTTGAACCTTTAAGTATTCCTTGACTCCCAACTCTCATCCAACATATTCAATCAGTTGCCAAGTATTGCCAGTTCCAACTCCACAACATTTCTTACATTCATCTCATTCTCTTACTCACAAACTCAATACCCTAATTCAGGCCTTAATGATCTTTTCCCTGGTCTACTACAATAGCCTCCTAATTGACCTCCCTATCTCAAATCTCTTCTCTCTAATGTATTCCTTCATACAGCAGAACTCCTGTAGCTTTCTATTACCTCTAGGAACAAACACAAATTGCTTTATTGGCATTTAATATCTTTTACAACATGGCTCCAATTTCTCTTTCCAAGATATTTATACAATAATGTAATTTCTAGCATTATAGTATTATTCAATAACACTATTTTAAAATGCCTGTATTTAATTACATAATTTATCATTATTAATATAATTTGTCATATAGTTTTCCTAATATTGAGCCATTACTATACTCAAGAAACATGACTGTATTCATTAAGCAGCCAGGTGGCACAGTAAATACAGTACTGGCCCTAGAATCAGGAAGAGCTGGATCCAGATCCAGCTCAAACACATACTATGTGACCCTTGGCAAGTCACTTCACCACTACCTACCTCAGTTTCCTCAAGTGTAAAATGGGGGTGACAATAATAGCAACTATGTTTCAGAGCTGTTGTAAGGATCAAATGAGACAATTTTAGCAAAGTGCTTAGCATAGTGCCTGTAACATAGCAAACATCTGATAAATGCTTATTCCTTTCTTCTTACACATTATAAATCTGACTTGAACAAAAAAGCCAAGTTTTTAAATATGTAGATATAGCCTCTTTCTACCTTATCCAACATTTTTGCATTAGTATTCATTAGAGATACTGATCTAGGTCTTTTTTCTTCTTCTGATTATCTCTCTCCGGCTCAGGCATCATAAAATAAATTTCTAACAGAAATTACTTTTTCTGTTAATAATGCTATTTTATATTTGCGTAAGTAATTAATATTTTCTTTTTAACTTATCAGTCTTTTGGCTATAGCTGAGCAAAATAGTTCTTTTTTTTAATTTCTTCTTCATCTGTGGTGATTTGTCCTTCTTAATTTTTCAGTTTTCCTCTTTTTCATCAAATTAGCTAAAACCTTGTCTATTTTGTTAGTATTTTTAAAAAATTACTAATTTAACAGCTTGGTCTGATTAGAGCAATAAATTCTGTGAAGTGGTCACATTAACCAAATTACATGTAAAGTAACAAGTAAAAATATAGTAAGTAAAATACAGCTACTGGTTACAGCCCAATGGAAATATGCAATAAAATTTTAACTAATTTTTATCTGTTTATTAGCATAATATAACAAAGGATAAGAAAAACATGTTTGATTCAAAGTTATTGGGAAGTAATAAAGTGGTTACAAAAACATCTCTTTAAATCTTCATATATACATAAATACAAAGAGCTTTTATCCACATCTCTGTGAAACTGCAAGCTGAAATTGTCACACAGTAAACCAAATGTAGTTGGATGAGGTGAGCCATTATTAAAAATCAAAAACCAAACAAACAAACAAAAAAGCAATGCTTTAAATGTGAAATTGTTGTCCTGGCAATATTTTTTTCAATAGCTGGGCTAAAATAAATTGAAAACCAATCTTCAAAAATTGCTCCAGTCAGCCATGTTTTCTTATCTGACCACCAAAAAACTTGAAGTGATTTATAGTGGTTACCTCTTGGGACATAAGGATTTTCAAAGAGATAAACATTGGTTTTAATTTTAAATTCTCTTCCACATCTTCCAATGAGAGTGTTAGGCTATCCTTAGGTAGTTTAAATCCAGGTTGAGTTTTTTTTTCTTTCTTAAAAATGTAAGTTCTAGAAGGCATCACTTATCAAAATAAGTTTCTTTCATCAACATAAAAAAAACTACTTATCAGTGCTTCCACCTTCTTCAATTATTTCTTCAAAATATCATGTATAGCTACGAAGTCCTCATCTGCAGTAGCCACTTCTTCAGTAATTTTAAAAGAAACCTACAAATTATTGCCAAAAGTGAGAAAATCTTGGGAAAGAAGCTAAAGATTAGAGGAGCACATAATAGTATCTTCCTCACTGGTGATACTTGGAAGGAATAAATGAGAAAAAAGAATAATTTGAGTAGTAAAGAGCTACTTAAGAATATGGTCTCAGAGAAATGGATTTGGATTTCTAAAAACATGGCGTAAAATACAGGGATGATATAGCTACCAAACACTAGTAAAAATGTATTTGCCTAACATCTGGCAAATCTAATCAAAAAGGTTTAAAAAACACAAAGGATGGAAGAAGAAAAAACTTCATATATATGTTTCTATGTATGTGTGTGTGTGTGTGTGTGTGTGTGTGTGTGTGTGTGTGTGTGTGTGTGTATATATATGCATATGATATATTATAAATACATGTCTGTGTATATTAATCTCAATCTCACAGAAAATAGCTAATAAAGCAGGGGAAATTGTAGTTGAAACACCCAGCTCACAGCAGAAAAAAATTCAAGCAATGAACTAGTAGTAAAAATGATAGCCAAAAAAACCTCTATACACAAATTGCAGAAGTCCAGAAGAAAAGCAAGAGGGACTAGAAGACTCAATATATTTTGAGTGAATATCAACAGAGAAAAACAGAAGTGATTCATTATCTGAGTATATTAAAGACAACCTCCTTAGAAAAAGAAAACAGGAGTTCAAGAAATAGCTCACTAGTTTGGCACAGAGACTTGATATAGCTGTGATAAGAGACTTCAATTATCAAGACATGCGGAAGTTCTCTGTCAAAAGGAGGGCTAGGAGCTGGTGACACAAAAACTAAGTAGTTACTTAGCCTCACTCGACACACTATGAAAAGATGGAGTAAACAAAGGCAAATCCTGTTCTGGATCTTCAATATAAGGGAAGGACTGTTAGCTGACGTGTTTAAGTAACAGAAATTATTTCTGATAGAGCAGGG